ATAATGCCAAGGACGGCAGTTGCTAAGAGTTTATCACCCTTCAGCATAGAGTTGAAAGATCTTTTGATAAGTGATCGTTGAAAATGAAAAATAATGTTGTTTTACACAATTGTTTAAAAGGTCATGAAGCTCATTAATTATCACAAAACTACTGATAATTTTTCAATACTGACAGATTATATCCTATAAATACCCTTACAGCTGAATTTGACAATTTTCACAAATTAGGATTAGACATCCCTTGAGTTCTTCTATCTATCATGAGCACACTCAATTCTTTCCATGAAATTTGCTTAAATACTGAATTGTTTAAGTGTCAGTGGTCCATTGCATTTTTGAGAAAAATAATACATGGCTGTTCCTCATCTAATTATATTCCACCTAAATATGTATCTAAATTGTCATATTTTCTACTGATGTCACAAATAGTATTATTAAGATTAAAAAATTAATTATGAGGTATTTAAAAATGAAAAACTAACAAATTTCAAATCATTATACCTATAATCATACCTCTGAATAAATAAAAGTTATGAACAAGTCTATGATGAAGAAATAAAGAACTTCAGAGAAAAATATAATTTGTCCAATATTGATTTAGGAAAGTGAGACATTATAATATGCAGTTCAAATGAAATGCTTTAAATGCCCTAATTGGTCCAACACTATTTTTCAGTGAGAGTCATTTTCAATTGTCTCTGTACCACTCTCTGAGATACTGGGGGTAGTAGTTCAATAACGGTTATCTTCCCACTTGGGGGTTATTCCCAACCTCTAAGAGGCAAGAACAGAATACGGTAAGAAAGGAAGTGTTACAGAGTTTCTGCTCCCTTCCTGCCCCTTACTATTTCTCTGTTCACATCATGCTTATTGCACAATTATAAGATAGCCATAAAAAAATAATTCTATGTATGGCATTATTAGTATTAATAATAATAGCCTTTTATGCTTACTACATCCAATGAAAAGAAACAAGTAAGTAGAGCCAGTATAACTGAAGTTTATTCAAGGTTACGTTACTACTAAGTGGCTAAGAGAGCTACAAAACAACTTCTAACTCCAAGTCTAGCACTCTTTCTTCTAATTGTGCTGTTGTTATAGTCTGAGTAAATTAGGCAGTCTAAATTTACTACGAGTTACCAAATAATTAAAAATAAAACATTGGCGCTGACTGGAAGATGAAGGGCTTATCGTCAAATTCCATTCCTGTGACAACTCAGAAACATAAACTACTAAAAACTCACTGCAAATCTCTCTTGTTAAATATTGTTAATTTTTCTATGTAAATTTATTGTTGAAAAAAAAATCATGTTCTAGTAGAAACTAAACTCACTTGGAATTCAATCAATTCTAAGTAATTCACTTGATAACCCAGCCTATATCGAATGCAAAGATATCTGAGCTGGTTCTAAGGGTGACCATATCTGAAGATTTAATCGCATGATATATATTTACTAAGTTGCCCTACCTCCATGGGGTTTACAGTCTAAGAAAGCAATCTGTTTAAAAACAATAAGCACACATCTGAGGAGTAATAAGTATGAAAAACAAAGGACATATATTTTTAAGGCAAATCTTTGAACAGAAAAAACAAGAATTAAAAGTTACTAAAAAAGAAAAAAAACAGGTAAGAAAATCTTATCTGATTGGAAGGGGAAAATTATTTCTAGGCTTTATATGCATATGTTTGTATCTGTCAAAATATATTACAGATTAATATATGCAATCAGTCAATTACTGTTTCTGCTATGGGCATGGGAGATACACTAAGATGGCATGCTGGACTGTCTTATTCTGAATTTTTTTTTTAATTTTCCAAAGTACTTTTTATTTAATTTTAAAAATTACAAACAGCAAAATGTATTCTTTGTGGTGTATGGTTCCATGGGTTTTTAACAAAGACATAGAGTAATCTATCCACCACTACAGTCACAATACAGAATAGTTCCAGTACCTCCCGAATTCCTTCATGCTGCTCCTTTAGATCCAACCCATGCCCCCCAACCTCTAACCACTGGAGACCACTAATCTGACATCTGTCCCTATAATTTTGCCTTTTCCAGAACGTCATAGAGTGTAATTATACAGTTCATAATTTTTCACATCTAACTTCTTTCACATATATTAATAAAAATGCATTTGAGAGTCATCTATGTTGTTAAAGGAATCAGTAGTTTCTCTGTCTTCCCAAGAGTCTACAATGGAATATATACCACAATTTGTTTATCCTGTTATTTGTTGAAGGATACTTGGGTTGTCTCCAGATTTTGGTGCTACAAAATAAAGCTACTATAAACAAACATTTGCATGCAGGACTTATATAAACATAGGTTTTTATTCCTCTTAGATAAATATCTGTAATGGGATTTCTGGGTCATATAATAAGTATATGCTTAACTTTTTCAGAAAAGGTCAAACTGTTTTCCAGTAGACTTGTGCTATTTTGCATTCCCACCAGCAATGCATGAGAGTTACAGTTGTCTGCATTCTTGTCAGCTCTTGGTATTGCCATTCTTTTCATTTTCATAAGTATGCAGTGATATCTCATTGTGGTTTAAAAATTTTTGCACTAGTGAATAAATATATTGAGGATATTTTTATATTTTTATTGTCATCCCCACATCTTCTTTGATGAAGTGTCTGTTAAAATCTTTTACCCATGTTTAAACATAAAGCTGCTTCTTTTCTTATTATTGAGTTTCAAAGGTTCTTATACAATCTGGAAACAAGTCTTTGTTACAAATAAGATTTGCAAAATATTTTGTCCCAGTCTTTTCTTCTCTTAATAGTGTTTTCACAGGAGGTAAAGTTTAAAATCTTCCTCTGTTATTTGGGAAGGGAGACAGTGAGCTGCCTACTAGAGCAACAGCAGTAAAGGAAGCTTATAAGAATGGATGGTGACTCCAAATGAAATCACTAGACCAAGCAAAAATAAGCCCAGGGATTTTAAGGGGGTAAAAAAAAAGAGTTATGGGTTTCACTTTTTGAAGAGATAAATTAAAAAAGAAAAAAGAATAATGATTTAATATCATAATAGTCAATTGATAGTTTGAAGAATGTTAACAATACTTGTATTCTATTGTTCATACCACATAATCTACCCTTTTTTGACTTAATATGAACATTTAATCCTTGTAATTAAATAGTCACCTAGAAGGTCATTTTTAATAACTGCATCCATCATATAGAGATGTGTCATGATTAACCAATCCATTACTGTTGCACATTTTTGTTGTTTTCACTTTTTTCCTATTATAAATAATGAGAGAAAAATACTTGCAGGCAAATCATTGCTTACATTTTATATTATGAGTAATTTGTCTGCAACTTACTTCAATATAAAATCATTGCATCAAAAAATAAGATGTATTGATAGATGGATAGAGGGATCAATATATGATAAAGCAAGTACAGCAAAATGTTAATGGTAGAATCTAGGTGGTAAGTATATGGAGATTCACTGAAAAATTCTTTCAACTTTTCCATATGTTTGAAATTTGTTAGAAAATGTTGCAAATAAAAAATGTTGGAAAAAATTATATTTAATGAGGCTAAATTCCTAGAATTGGAATAGATTATTCGTAGTATGTGCACATCTTTAAACTTTGTGAAGTTAAAACATCAACCAGAAAGTGTCAGTTCCCTCACACTGTCAACACCACTTTTTAGTGCTTTTCAAATCTCTGCCAACTTGTTAGGCAAAAACTGGTAATTCATCTTTTAAATCATCATTTTTATGTTAATTTTTAAAACTTCTTAAAGTTAATATATAATGAATTGAAAAGCTTCCTAATATTCTTGGCTTCAGATTCTGATGTTGGTTATTGGAACCATGAAGCAGTAATCAAGATTCAAGCACCCATCTGGGGGCACTTAGCTTATTACCAAGCACAATACCCTTAGGAATAACTCATAAACCAAATTACATTGGTGAAAGTTACTTCCAGGCCAGCATTATACACAGGCAGAGACGGCTAATACTCGATTGCTTGATTTCACAGGTCCTGAGAAAGAGCTCTTCCTGCACACAAAAAAAGTCACTTCTCCTATTTTACTAGGATGCTTAGAAGTTAAGTGTTAGTGATTTCTTCTTTGGTGTTGAAACAACTAGGTCCCTACAAACACTCTTTCAAAGTTCAATTATTTTATTCAAAATGAACTCCACATAACTGTGCTTTCATAGGATAGAATGCAATGGAACCATTAAAAAAAACTATGGAAATCTGCATTTACCAACATGAAAAGACGTCCATGATATACTTATTCATTGCAAAAAAGCAAGTATGCATATTTGTGTATGACAGAAATGTATGAAAGGATATTTACTAAAATACTAATAGTGGTTACCTGTTAAAGGGTGGGTATATATGAGATTGTTTTTTACCCTTTTTATACACTTATCTATTGTTTTTTTTACAATGGATATATATAATTTTTAAACAATAAGTAATAAAATAAGGCTATTTACATTTTGATAAAAAGAAAATTGAAAGTATCTCAGAAAATTGCTAAGCCATTAGCACCTTAGTAAAAATTTAATTTAGCAAGGTTTTTCAAGTCAAGGCTACAGTCCCCTAAGGAATAAGACCCAGACCCAGCATATTTTCAAGGGGATAGAGAAAAAGGGTTAAATACAGACCAGGCAAAGAGATCTCTAGTAAGGTATTAAGCCAGCTCAGCGATAGGTCTGTATTATCCTGAGGGAATATGACTGGAAAAAAAAAATCAATAGAAAACAGAAGGCATCTGTGGTCTTCACATCCAAGAGAAACCATAAGTGTGAAGGCTCACTACAGTCTGAACAGACTCAGAGGGGATATTAACTTTGCTACAATTCTTGCTTTCAATATTATAAAAATAAACACCTCCTTAGCCCCCTACAACAGACTCAGGATTCAATGGCAGTTAATTTTTTAAAATATGTACTTAACAGATTTAAATTCTTAAACTTGTACTTCACAAAAACTGAAAAGGAGAACATGAGGCATTAAACTACTCACCTCCAAGGGAAGACATGTCTGTCCGTGGCCAGATGTTCCTGGATGTGATACCACAGTCCCATTTTTTATTTTAAAGTGTGTTTTGCACATGTAGCCATCAGAACAGTCCTGTGCGTCATCACCAAAAAAATACATGAGAAAATGCCAATTATTTTAAGAATTCATCATTTTAAAAACTACTTCATAGGTTCCAAACTGAGCAAAGAAAAACTAAGTGTACTAACTGAGAGGAGATAATGTGGATAAAGAGATTAGTCTATTAGTTTTAAACAGCATTTAAATCACATTTAAACTCATAGAAATATCTTGTCATATAATATTGATTTTCATAGTGTATACATAGAGAACTATTTTCAAAGCATTTGATCAGATCTTGAAGCCGGAAGGGACTTTCAATTTCAATTTCTTAGGCCGGGCGTGGTGGCTCACGCCTGTAATCTTAGCACTCTGGGAGGCCGAGGCGGGCGGATTGCCTGAGGTCAGGAGTTCGAAACCAGCTCTGAGCAAGACTGAGACCCCGTCCCTACTCTAAATAGAAAGAAATTAATTGGTCAACTAATATACAGAAAAAATTAGCCGGGCATGGTGGTGCATGCCCGTAGTCCCAGCTACTCAGGAGGATGAGGCAGAAGGATCACTGAGCCCAGGAGTTTGAGGTTGCTGTGAGCTAGGCTGACGCCATGACACTCACTCTAGCCTGGGCAACAAAGCGAGACGCTGTCTCAAAAAAAAAAAAAAAATTGTTTTCAATTTCTTTTTCAAGGCAAGATCTCTATGAAAATGTCCCCGAAAGGTAACTGTACAGCATCTGCCTGAGCACTTCCAGGAACCTGTACTCTTTAGTGCCTTACCAACAGGCACTTCCATTTAGGTGCATCATACATTGACAAAGTTTTGTCTTATACTGCCCTGAAATGTTTCCCTTTAACTTTAACTTACTGGTTCTAGTTCTGCCCTCTAGAGTCTAATCCATTTACCACAGGGCTGTTCTTCAAAGAGCTGAAGAAATTACCACCATTTGCAAATATTCCTTACAAGATATGGTTTCTGAGCCCTTCACTAGTTGAATTTCCCTCCTGTTTCTTGTACTTGCTTTTAAATATACTAATGGATGCTGTTCATCTCACTGTGGTCAGTTCCATTTCTTTTTTAAAGCAACGCTTGTTTGAATTCAATAAAGTCATGTGTAAGAATGTGATAACTTCCCATGCACAAACATATAAACCAATAAATATTAATTCTCCACCAAACTGTCACACCAATATCTGCATTTTAATAGAATTAAAATAATAATTAAGGAAGAAATGGCTATTTGATCTTCTTTTAAGAAGAGGGAAATTTGGATACAGTTCTAAGTTTGACAGTTGATATCTCTGACATTTCACTTTGACACTTCTTATTTTATTGTGAAGAGACATCTCAGTCTTTCAAATGTACATTTTGGCTTGTGATTATCATTCAAATTTTTCAGAGCAATTTTTGTGAAACCATGGATAAGTTAAAAATTCAAGTTATTTCCAAATATGAATTCCGTCATGGAACCAATATAGCGCAGACAGCTTGGAATATCAACAAAGTATTTGGGAAGGATGTGGCTAATGAATGCACAGTATGTTGATGGTTTGAGAAGTTCTGATGATTTTTAATCTTGAAAATGAGTCACGTAGGCAACCTGACTGAGACCAAGGTGGATAATGAAGAGCTGAAAGCTGTAGCGGAATGAATGTATCTCAACCTACACGTGAATTGTCAGCAAGGTTTGATGTTACTATCCCAACAATATTGGACCATTTAAAACAAATTGACAAGGTAAAGAAGCTGGATAGATGGGTTCCACATGAATTAAATGACCGTCAGAAGAGAAATCGTATGGAAGCTTTCTTTTCTTTGCTGTCATGACATAAAGGTGAACCATTTCTATACCGTATTGTTACGTGTGATGAAAAATGGATTCTTTTTGACAATCGCAAGCATTTGGCACATGGTTGGATAAAGATGAAGTGCTGAAATACAGTCCAAAACTCAATATTCATCAAAAAATCTAATCATGTCTGTCCAGGGCTGGTATTATCCACTACAGCTTCATGAAACCAGGTAATCACTTGATTACAGTGGATGTCTACTGCAACCAGTTGGACAAAATGATAAGGATGCTTGCGATTAAGCAGCCTGAGACTGGTCAATGGAGACAGGGCTCTTGCAAGAAAACACTTGACCACATGTCGCACAAACAATGTTGTTGAAACTACAAAAGCTAGACTGTCACCCACCATATTCACCAGACCTTACGACAACTGACTACCACTTCTTCCAGTGTTTGGACCACTTCTTGCAAGGAAAAACACTCCATTCTCAATAAGCTGTGAAAAATGCTTTTCATGATTTCATCCCCATTCAACACTCCAGCTAAATCTTAACGGTAGCTTGTTTATGCCAGCAGGCTCGCTGCTGGCATAAACAAGCTACCATTAAGATGGCAACACTATGTCGATAGTTTATGCACATACTTTGATTAATTGTACTTCTTCTTGTTTGAGATATAATAAACTACACTTTTGATTCGAAATTGGATAGTTCATATTTAATGACCTAATACAATTTAATAAAATTCTAATTATAATGCAAAATACATCTCCTTTGACATCAAAGGAGATGAATCAAAGATTCCTGTGCCCCTATGTTATAAAATCTAAATTATCTGGTCTCTTTTCCAATGAATTAAAATAGAGATATGTCATTTTCAATATTACCTATAATTCAAGAAATTTTTATTTCCATTTTAGATAATTTCTAATACTATTTATTATTATCTGTAGGGGTGTGTAAAAGGGTTTTTGACTCAGCCTATATTTGGTAGTAATGATTTTCTCTTCAGTATCAATCTCTTAAGAGTCAAGATTAGTCTCGAAAAATTAAATATAGAAAAAGGAGTTTTTAGCATTTTGATTTCCCTTCAAACATTTACTTCCACAGAAGTAGGTCTTTCTCCTACATTGTTTTAATTTAGGGCAGAAAAATATGTTTTGTTCTTCATTGTTGAAGGATGTTTTCCTAGAGACAAGCAAATACAAAAGCATGAGAACTGCTGTCCTATGTCAGCCCTGCAGTCCGTCTAGCTCAGTAAATGATGTTAACTCAAATCTCCCCTTGGCAATGAAATTTTCCCTGACTGCTCCAATCAACACTCCTCTCTAGCTTCCCTGCATTATTCCTGTACTTACTATGGCTTAAAATTTAACATTTAATTCTTCTTTAATTTTTAACATTTCTGAGTTTTACTTTCCCCAACAGATCATAAGCTCAGCACCTAGGCCCCAGCTCCTGAGGGATGCCAGGGTCTTAACTACAGAATCCAGACTGCTGTTCCACATAAAAATGAGGCACATAGGGTCTGAAAACATCCTGGACCAGCAGGGAGGATGTAAGAACAAAGGGAACCTTGTTGTTTACTCAGCTCAACCTCTTGTTTTAGAGATAAGAGTGCGATGGACTAAAGCACTTTTAAGAAACCCGTCTGACAGCTAATTAATTACGGGCAGGGCTGGAAATGGAAAGCAGATCTCTTGACCTGAGCATTATTTCTAGTATACTAAGTAAATTTTGCCAAAGCAGTATCATGGCAGAAACATGCTTTTTGACTCTTGTGGACTGGTATAGGCCAGTGCTTTGCACTTTGAGTACCAAGCTCAAACAACACAAGTGTGTTCTGGGGACTGGCAGTCACAGTATTAGCTGGGAGCTTGTTAGACATGCAGAATCTCAAGCCCCGCTCTAGACCTCCAGACTCTGTATTTAAATCCCCAAGTGATTTGTGTGTACATTTGGAAGCGTGTATTGTAATCTCTGACTCAAAGAGATTGCAAACTGATGGCATTAACAGTGGTTCTCAATCTTGACTACACATTAGAATCAACTGGGGCGTTTTCAAAATGCTGCTGTTGGGGTCTCACCTCAGACCAATGAAGTCTGAATCTCCCTAGCAGATTTTAATGCAGCAACGGGGTTGAGAACCACCGTACTTTTGAACTCAATGAAAAATAGAGTCAACCAACTAATCTTTAGCAGAGAGAAGGCCACGAATAACTCAAGACCTTCATAAACACCATAGCTCACTTGGAGTTCCCCAAATGCTAAAATCACCTGTTGTTGATGCTCATCATGGAGCTTTGGCCATGCTAAAATTGCCTTTTAAGAGGTCTTTACCACTGCCTCAAACCCTACTTTCTGGCAATTTGCCCAGCCTTGACCTGGTCCTCAATAACAGACATTAATCTTGTAACTTAAAATTGTTCCATGTCCACCTACACTTCAGCTCTCAGGACTCCTTGCTGCCTATCACCACAAAGCAGGTTGCTTCACTCTGTCATTACAGAAGAGAAATTAATAGAAAATGTCCCACTGTTATAACCCAGACACCACTAATAAAAAAACAGAACACTTCCTCATAGCCAAAATTCTTCCAGTTATCTAAATAGAATGTTCTTCACCTTATACCAAAACAAGGAATAAAGATTTAAGTGAAAAAAAATCATAAATGTGCTAGATGAAAATACTAGACAATATATATAATACATACCTTTTTAAATAGGATAAAACACAGAATTCATAGAAGATTAACAAATTCTACCACATGCAAACAAATTCTTAACACCATAAAGTCAAAAGACAAATATCAAAATGTGAAAAAAGATGTATAGCTCATGTCATAGAAAAGGATTAATTAGAAAGACAAGATGGCTGACCAGAGACACCAGCTGCCAGATCATCTCAGAAAGAAGAAAAAGTTTTAGATGAAAAAGAAAACACAAACAAATAAGCAACCATAGATTGGGTGTAATTCTGAGAGAAAAGTGCCAGAACCTACAAGCAATTCCACAGGAAGAAGTTGTGGAGCAGAACAAGAAGGAGCAAGACATCAGCAGAAGACAACCCCCAAGAGGCTTGGAGTCCAGCGAAAAGGGTAAGTGGAGTGGTTTGTTTTTCCCTCCCTCACATCTCTGGCAGTAAGCAGGCCCCTGAGTAGCTAGAGAGACTTTCTACTTTCATAAGCCCAAAAGCTATTGCCGCCAATTAACTGAGAGCTTCTTGAGGACAAAGCATCCAGCTGC